AAAAGGAAACTTTGCCTTGGTCTCTGGACATAGTAATTGAAAGAATAAAAGCACACTAGAGTCCCAAGAGAGAAGCCACCCTGAACTCTGGGAAAACCCCAACATGGCTTGCACAGGATTCTACTGCTCTCAAGATACCAGGGTGCAAAGTGATGTGCCCTTCCTTTACCAAATAAAATTCAAGGACACTACATCTTCACAATGAAGCTTGAAACCAGTCAAGCACATTTTTTATTTAAAAAAGAAAAAAAGTCTAACGGTATATAGTCTATACATGCTACAGTTAATTGTTCATCATCCTTCCCCCCTCACATTGTATATACTTATGTACGTTTTTGTGTAAAGAGGAAACAAAACACCACCAGAATCTGTCAGTTTTCTGCAAGGGAGTGAGGAGTGCTGAGATCTGAGATATCCAGGGATCCCCAGAGCCACCCTAGGAGTAGGGCATAAGATGGCAGGATGCTGCTGGCATCGACCCCATTGTTCCTAGAAGGATGTACGACATGGCTTAGTTACTTGGTGGTTCCCTGAAGCAGGAAATGCAGGTTGTAGTTGAGGTGAACATAGTTTATCACCACCCCTTGGAAGAGAGGAAGGGATGCTTGCTATTAATGACACTGGAACAAAGATGCAAGCAGGCAAACACTGGGGTGAAATACTACGGACACCTTAGCTGTTAGAATTGCTTATTGCTGTCATCAAGCCTGGCAGGAAACCTTCTTACATTGATAGAAGAGCTGCGAGTGAAGGCTGTGCACTGTATTTGGCCTCTTCAAGGACAACAGAGACTTAACCTCTGGTCCCTGATTGGAACAAAGGCCGACTTTGGAGTAGATGAGACAAGCGGAATGTCTGAAGATGATGAAGCGATCTTGAGAAAACTTGACTAGGTAGCACCAGAAACCAAACATCTCTCCTTGAAGCTGGAGGGTTGTTTGTGGAAAGGGTCCTTGGCAGGTGGGACCTTTCTGATTTGAATGTGGCAGCTCCCCAACATTCATGGCTACATGGCAGCTATGGCTGGTCTAGACATTAGGACTTATCAAGTTAGGAACAACTCCTCCAGGCAAAGGGAGGGCATCCTGCACCCGCAGTCTCCAGTGCAAACACATTTAGACCATAGTCTGCCTCTAAGTAATCTTTGGTGTGAGGTATGCTGATTGCCATGTACAACCTGAAGGAACAGCATGGAAAAACAGTTAGGGACAAGTGCACTGAGCAAGGTGGCTCAGGCTGTTAGGTGTCCACTTTCACAGTCCAAAGCAAAAGGCAAGACCTCCCAGTGGGCAGCCCAACCCAACATTGTCAAGTCACAAATGTTCTGGTTTCTGATGGTGTCCAGTCGTCAGCTTTTTAAGGGCAGGTATAGCTTTGTTTTTCCTTATCCCACTCATTGCTGGGTGGTTGGTAGAGGCTGAATAAATACTAAACTGTCCATTCCTCGGCCCAAAGCCTTCCAAACCTGGGGAGGAGTCAGCACCTGCCCTTTAAGTTGGTAAGTCCGTTCTCCCACGTTCCACCTGGCAACTGAACTCAGTGGGCTCAGAAATGTCTTAAGGCCACGAACTTTGCCTTAAGAAATGGATTATGTGGAGCCTTACAAGCTAATGAAAATCTAATGAGGGTTAGGGAGATTAGAAGTGGCTAAAGTGGGGCTAGCTCTGCCTTAGGCACACAGCCTGCGCTGACGTAAGTCAATAAATGGCAGAGGAAGATGAGTAAAGCCTATCCTACCCAAAGGCCTTCCTAAAATGCATATTTTCTAAGAAAAGAGTTGGTGGCAACACAGGCTGTATTTTTGTCCTAGAATTTAAGGTAAAACTGTTATCACAAGGTGGTGAGGGAAAACCAAAACCACCTTTGCCTGCCTGCCCTTTGGGTTGCCATACAGCCTATGATTTTTTATCTATGGACAGGTGACGACAATAACGTAGTGGGAGGAGAAACCCGAATTCAGAGGGAGGGTCACCTGATTCCTGGAACCCCCATGTCTCATGTTTCACTGGGGAGAGAAATCCCAGGATTTGAATCCCAGCTTTGTCTCTACTTGGATGAGGCTGAGCCCATGACATCACTCTTTGTACCTTGATGGTCTCACTTCCAAAACAGGGTTAGTCTGCCTCTCAGGATTGTTGTGAAGATGAAACTGAAAGAGGGAGAGTATTCGGCCCCGGTGAGCTGCCTGTGCCTGGTATGGGAGTCAAGATGATGGCCAAGACATCTTCCACTGCGGGGACTCCAGAGGTTCTATCTACTCCATCACAGAAGAGTGACCGCAGGCCTGGGTGGTGTAAACAGATGTCTCCAGGCAGAAGAACTAGCAAGAGCCATTGGCCACCAACAACCTCCCACTGCCACGTGCCTGGGGAAGCACTCACCGCTGTAGCAGGCAGAGCTGGAAAAAGAGTCCTCAGGCCATAGATCAGACCTGAAGGAAGGATAGTGAGCAGAAAGGAAGGTGGCTCTAGCACCTATAGTTCACATCCAAATATGAACAGTAATAATACTAATAAAAAAGCAAATTCTTTCATTTGCAGTAAACATTCTGCTCAAAGGTGGAGCTGACTCATTCATTCCCAGCCAGCTGTTCTCGGGAAGAGGGAACAAGGAGAAGGATAAACTCCGCTGTGGAATCAAAGCTTTTTACAGCCAGGAGCTGCATACAGATGCTCAACCAGTGCCTATCATAAGACTTGTGTTTAAAAAAAAAAAAAGTTTTGCCCTTTGGAACGCAAGTGAGATCCTCCAGAACAGCTTCACAAAAGCTGGTTAATAAAATGAAAACCAAACCTAAACCCATTGCCTTCAAGTCAGTTCTGACTCATAGCGACTGTAAAGGGTTTCCAAGGCTATAAATCTTTATGGGAGCAGAAAGCCTCATCTTTCTCCCACAGAGTGGCTGGTGGACTTGAACCACCAATCTTGTGGTTAACAGCCCAACGTTCAGCCCACAGCACCATCAGGATTCCTTTTAATAAAGTAAAGGGACCAAAATCTCAAGAAAACATGCTCTGGAACCTTGTTCCAAGTCAGGATATAAGGGGGAAAAAGACCTAGATGAGGTTGGGCAGCTCTCCCGTAGTCTCCCTTTTGTCTGGAGAGTTCTGGGAACACGGCAACTAGGGGCCAACAGGATCTGCAGGAGGCACCTCCAAGATTTGCTGGAGATGGGAAACAGGCCAAATGGAAAAAATAAAGATGCTCCTGCCAATCAGTGGAAGATGTTTTTCTTCCAGAAGCATCCAGAGCCCTCTTGGCAGTGGGGGTGGGCAAAAGAGGACCCTTTGCACATAAACTTTAGTGCTATAGGTAAACAGCACGTCCTCAGGAAAATTGGCCCCGTGGCTCCCAAACATTGCCTGGATGAACGATGAGTCAGAGATTTCTGGGGCAGCACAGGGCTGTCCCCTCCTCTCTTGCAGGGTGCAGTGTGGGTGTGGGTGTGGGTGTGGAAGGTTGGGGGGTTTTGTTCTCGTCTCATGTGGCCTGGTCCACAGGCTGGGAGCCAGAATCCCAGGGTCCTCATTCTAGTTTTGCTATGGCTTGGCTATGCCTAGACATGCCTCAGTTAATCACATCTGTCAAAATGGGCATGAAGGGCTGCCCTGGGTTCCTCTTAGTGAGTAAAAGACACGGCAAGTCATGAAAAAAGACGACAAATACTCTACAAATGCAGGGAGGGACAGGTGTCTGCCTCCAATTGGCACTACAGCTCAGTTTGGTGGAGATGCAGCTGTGTGTACCTGAGCCATTAGGGCTCTGTGAGGCTGGCATAGGAGACCAACTCTGCCCACCTCGTGTGAGAAGATCTATCCCCTAGGAGTCTACCAGCACAGGAAGGAGCAGGGCACAGGGCTGTGCCAACCACCAGGGTTCTGGCAGCTTGGTGGAGCAGTATTCAGAGTCCAGGGTGGTCTTTGGTGGTACACTGCAGCAGGTTGGAGGGGTGGTAGGTGTGGAAGCAGCTGTAAGTGCCCTTCACCAGCACCAGGAAGCACTTAGCCATAGTACTCCTGGTGGTGCCCAGCAGCCTCCATCTTTCCCCTGCCAGGTGGGCTTTTTCCAGGAGGGAAGAGCACAGATATTGAAGTCAGTCAGGGAGGTTCCAATGCTCTTTACTCCTCTTCCCAGCCAGTGTACCCTTAAGCACACTGTGCCTGTGCCCAAGCCTCCTTATCTACAGAATGGATAAAATATTACATGAAACCAAGCACAGTGTTTGTCACCTACTTACTAGCTACTCCACAAAGGGGTGTTCCCAGGGCACAGCTTGCAAATGGTCTGGTCTCCCTTATTCAAACGTTTAGATTCTTGCTCTAGGTAGATGTTAGTGAAACACCCCACATGGGGGCGAGTCTTATTTAAAAGTCCTACGATGGGCCTGGACTTGCAGCAGGAACGTGAGGTGAGTAGCTGCCTCCACTTACACCACTGAGGCCTGGGCAAGAAGACACTTTCTCTGGGATTAGCAAAGATGCTGACTTCTATAGGACAAAGTTCTTTTGTGGTACCAGGCCTTTTGGAAATGGAGTGAATAAAGCCACTGGACTTTGAGAGATATGAAGTTAGAACAAGTCGTCATGGATCAGGTAGGAGATCAGGGAGGGCTGCTCCTTATTTCATCTCATCCAAGCAACCCTCTGTGGAGTATCTCCTGAGGGTGGGCTCTGGTCATGGGAGGGACTTGCAGAGTCATGGCCCCACCACTGGGAGGGAAGGGAAGGCCATGCATGGGCCGGGAGCAGGGGTTCTCTTAAGGCTGGGATGCTGATTTGGATCAAATGCAAGGGGTGGCATCGAGCTTCCAGAGGATGCCCTAAGGTTTCAGGGACTGAGTTTTCACGAAGAATACCTACCATCCCTGTGGGAAGAAGGGATGAAACTCCAGAGTCTATCCTGCGCTTGAAGCTGCATGGAGGATGATAAATTAAGAGGCATCTTAAATATGTGAGTAATGCCAACAGGGGCCAAGAGGGCCTCTGGGCAGTGAGGGGGCAGCTATGGCTTCTTTCTTAGGTAGTTGGAAGGAATCCATCCTTCCCAGGAAGGGCCCCCACTCAGAACTTGGCAATACCACCAGCCGCTGTTATTCTTTTCTCGGACTTCAAACACAGTCCCTTCCTGGAAGCTGCTAGTATCTTCATCACCTTCAAAGTTGGCCACAGCCACATACAAAGAGTCCTTTGGGCCATCGGTGCTGGGGCAGGGAGCTGCAGATGCTTTCTCCCTGCTTTCTCCAATCCTGCCCACCATTCGTGGTCCTGGCAAGCCTTTGCCTCTCAAGTCATCTTGGCCTACTGAGGAGTTGAGGAGAAAAGGCCTGGCTTTTGGAGGGACAAGTAGGGCCCGGCCAGGGGTAGGAATTGCCTTGCCTTCGCTGGCCTCACGCTGTGGTCCTCTGATCTCTGAGAGGGGCCTGGGTGATGAGGAGGCTTTCTTGGGTGGTGGTGGTCTTCGGGGTGGGACCACGGGCCTCTGCTGGGAAGTGTCCTGGAAAGGGATGGGGACACTCTTACACATGGGCTCTGTTGTCTTGGCTGGCCGGGGAGGGGCTCTGGAGGCCATCTCCTTAGGGCTGAGCCCGTCCTGTTTGCTTATTTTCTCCTGGGCACGGCCGGGTCCCTCCCCAGACAGGAAGCTGCGGCTGAAGGCCAGGTCTGTGCCCCCAACAGCTTGGTGGCTCTCCCCATCCAATGAGGTTCTCTCTTGGGACTTGGCAGGCCTGAGCTTACTCCTGAGGTTACAGATGTCCAGTTGGTCTTCACCCTGAGGTGGCTCTGTCTTGGGGGAAGGAGCTGGTTTGGGCCTAACCTGAGGTTTGGATTTTAAGAATGGGTTCTGGGGAACGGCTTCTGGCTTCTCCTCTGGTGGGTCAGCTTTGGCTTTGGAGACGGGCCGGAGGTTGGGTTTCTTCACTTCCTTTGCCAACACCTTGTGACCGCATTCCAGTCCCATTTCATTTTTCAGCTGGAACAACTTACTTTTGTCAGGTTTGGGTTCTGGCTTCCTGCTTTCCCGGGCTGGGGGGGTGTGCTTGGCTGGGATCATGGGCAAGATCATGCCGGGAGGCTTGGGTGAAGAGCCCCGGAGCTGCTCCAACCTCTGCCTCTCTCTCTCCTGCAGCTCCCCTTCGGACTTGATGATGGACTCTTTTCGGGGAGGGAGGCTGGGCTTCTCCTCCACATCAGGGTCTGAGATCTCCTCGTAGCCTGCGGAAATGTCTGCAGTCGCCTTCCTCAGGCCCTCCTTGGCGCCCTTCCAGTCCTTGGACCACGGCATCCCCAAGTCCACACTGCTGTGTGGTGCGTCAGGCAGGGGCCGAGAGGGGCCTGTGGCTTCACAGCCTGTACTGTTCTCTATTGCTGCTGCATCCCCAAGTCGGAGCTGGGTCACCTCGTTGGGCAGGGGAGCCAGAAAGTTGGGTCTTAAGGCGCTGCTCGTTTTCTTGTATTTGTCAATGAAGGTGGCTGGGGCCCATCCTTCCTTATCTTCAATCTGAATGTACCACCAGCCACTCAAGTTCTTCTCGATCACCTGCAAGGGACGACAGTGGGAAGCACTTAGTAAGTGTAGTGCGAGGGACAGTAGACCAGAAAGGCGTGGGGGAACGAACCCAGGTGGGACTAGAGTTCAACATCTATGGAGGACGCTCTGTGGAGATCTCACTATGTATCAGGAGTATCTTGCATGGAGGCAGATTCTTGCCTTATTAATATTTTTAAAAACTTTTTATTGTAAAATGAGTGATGGTTTACAGAGCAAATCATCAGTTTCACATTCAACAAATCATATACTTTGCTTCATTACACGGTTGTAATCCCCTCCATGTACCAACAGTTAACAGCATTTATCTCTATTCACTTTAACCACTGCATTCCTCCCACTACCTTCATTCTTTCCTCTACTAACTTCCCCTTTGTCGTATACCTGTCCTGTCACCCATGTTAACATGTGTCTACCCTGTGGCCCATGAATGATTTTCCTTCAATGTTTTATAGTATACTATTGTGTACATGAGGGACCTGGTGTGGCACTGTGGGCTAATGCGTCAGACCGCAAAGTCATTTCAACTGCAACGTCAGTGGTTCAAGCTCACCAGCTGCTTCTTGGAAACCCTATACAGGGTCGTTATGGGTCGGAATCAACTCGATGGCACTTAACAACAACAACATTGTGTATATGTAGTAAAGTTTGCTTAACCATTCTTCTGTTGGTGGACATTTAGGCTGTCACCATCTTTTTGATATGTCCCTTGTAGACAGCATATTGAAAGACTCTGTTTTCCATTCTGCTGTCTCTGTTTCTCTTTTTTTTTTTTAAATGTGTTATTGTGAACTATGTGATAGTTTACATGGGAGAACATTAGCTTTACATTCATTCTATCGTATATTGTTTCATTGCCATGGTTACAATCCCCTCTATGCATCATCAACCAACCAAAGAGCATACCCTGCAAGCCTGCCCCCTAGTCATCAGCACACAGCCCCTCTCCCTCTCTGGGTCTAAAGTCTCCAGCTGTCTCTGTCTCTTGACTGGTAGTACATTTAACTCATCTATACTCAGTGCAATTAATCAATAGATACCAATGGATTTCTGTCATTTTTCTATGTGGTTTTTGTGTGTGTGCGTGTGTGGTGCTGCTGGATTCTTTGTTCTACATAATTTTCTATGCTGAGTTCATTTTTTTAAAAATGTTTTATTGTGAATTATATGGTAGTTTACGTGGGAGAACATTAGTTTTACATTCACTCTATCGTATATCGTTTCATTGCCATAGTATCAATCCCCTCCATGCATCATCAACCAACCAAAGGGTATACACTGCAAGCCTGCTCCCTACACTATCCCCCCCCCAGTCATCAGCACACAGCCCCTCTCCCTCTCTGGATCTAAAGTTCCCAGCTGCTCCATGTTGTCGTCTCTGCCCCCATCTCAGGCATCGCTGCTTCTCTGGGTAGGGTCCCGCTCTTGGCTCTTCTCCGTTGATGGTCCGAGACTGGAAAGTTAATCACTCCCTTCCTTGCTATAATACGTCTACCTTTACATTTCCAACCCTCACAATCAGTCCTGATAACAATTATTCACAAGAGACCCATCTGTATTTCATTTCATCAGCTCTGCCTAGACAGATTGGATAGTACTAACAGGAGATTCTGCCTTCCTCCATGCCCCCTGGCTCTAGGTTCCCTCTTGAACGCTTGTAAGCCAGTTACTTCTTGCCTTTGTAGCCCCCCACCCCCATTTTGGATAGTCAATGTACAAGTTGCCCATCCCTGTCTACTCTGTGTGTGGAGGGGGTGGGAATGATTCTTGCTGTAAGGATTTGTTCCCTCTTTTGAGTTGCTGCATCCTTAGGTGTAGGTCAAGTTCATCAAATTGTATCAGATTACTCTTTTTTTCCTCTTCTTTCTTCTTCTGGTTGAGCTCTGATCATCCAGTCATTGAAGTCAGTCATTGGGTATTATCTGCAAGTGTGGGTGTTCTTGTGCATATGCCCTCTCTTTTTATCAGCTGGATGCTGAGTTCATTTTGTTTGTGGGTTTTCTTGTCATTTTCATTTCTGCTGTATTGACATTTAATACATATTTCTGATTTTCCTTTTTTTAAAATTTTGATATGCAGGTATATTATCAGCTTTTTGTATGCTTATCTTCTCATCTTTTATGTTAGGGCACTTTTCTTCCAACAACTCTTTGACAATTTTCTCTGCGCTTTTTATTGTCTCTTTCTGTTCTGGAATTCCAAACACATGTACACTGGTCTTCATCATAGTGTCCCATAGAACTCTTCGGCCTTCCTCAGTTTTTCTCATTATTTTTTCTGATTATTCTTCTAGCATACAGATTTGAGAGATTTATCTTTAAGCTCACTAATTCTGGCTTCCATCACTTTGCAGCTACTTCTTTGTCCTTTCAATGTATCATCCATTTCTGAAATCTTAGTATTAATCTTCTGTATTTCTAATTGCAGGCTTTAGATTATCTCAAAATTTACTTTGCTTTCCTTGATCTTTCTATCAATACTTGGAAGGTATCTAATTACCATACTTTTGAATTCTTTTTCAGTTAGTTCCATTATCTTGTCTTCCTCAAAAACATGTTCTGGCTCTGCATCTGGGTCATTTGTTTGAGCCATTCTCTTTTGTTACTTCAAGTGAGCTAAAATTGCCTATTGTCTCTGGGGGGCTCCTGCAATGCAAGGAGCTCACAGGTAGGTTGTGGAGGAGATGTGAGAACAAAGATCTGGCCCTAGATGGAGTTCTTATGGTGTTGGTGTTATCTATGTTTAGGACACTCAATCTGGAAGCAGTTCAAGGGGACCCCTGATGGAGCTGGTTTCAGTGTCCATCAGGACCCCAGGGAAGCTGGGGCAGCATGACTGGTTAAATGCTGGTCTGGTGGCTCTGTGGGTTTTGTAGGTAAGGAGCTGAGCCCACATGAATCTAGGCAACAAAGCTGCACACCAAATGGGCACAGCTGGCCTCCACCTCACACTGACAATGTCTCCGAACTCCTGGACAGCAAGTTCTGTGCTTGAGAAAGATAAGGGTGGGAGTTGGCTATGTTTCTGATCACCAGGGGTGCATGGGGAAAAAGAAGGAATTGTACCTTTTATGTTCTTTCATGAATCTGCACTGACAAGCCTCCCTCCCCTACTAACACTGCTTACAAGATGGTTGAGCCACCTCTGGCCAGCTGTTCACCAGACAGTCTCTCTCTCTTGTCATCTCTGGTCGCTCTCTTCTCCCAGCAAGCATACCATCAACTTCTCTAACCTTTCTATCGAAGTTCAGGGTGCTAGGATTTTCATGTGTGTCTCTTTTGTATCTTTGCTGTGGAGGGATGGTGTAGTCCACCTGCCTAGTCTGCCATCTTGCCAGAAATCTCTCGTCTTAGTTTGGATCCCTCCTGTGATGGTTAATATTATTGCTCAACTTCACTAAGCAATGGTACACAACTGTATGGCTAAACACTAGTCTAGCTGCTGTTATTAAATTAAATAACACTATGATGGCCTTCATCCCTCATACTTTGGACATATTGTCAGGAAGGAGCAGTCGCTAGAGAAGGATGTCATGCTGGATAAGATGGAGGGTCAGAGAAAGAGAGGAAGACCCCCAACGAGATAGATCGGCCAGATGGTATCATTGATGGCGTCAAGTGTGGCAGCGGTAGTGAGGTTGGCCCAGGATCGGACATTGTTTCGTTCTGCTGTGCATGGGGTTGCTATGAGTCAGTTCTGACTTGATGACACCTGACAACAACATGATGGCCTTATGCTGTTTGACTGAATAACATGCCATGACTAAATCAGTTGGCCTTAAGTAAAGCAGGTTGCCCCCCACAATGTGGGTAGGTCTCAGTAATCAATTAAAGCCCTTAAGAGCAAAAAGAAAATTTCCCTAGGGTGTATTCTGCCTCCAGGCTATAAATAAAAGGAGACTTAAAATATGGAATGAAAAGATAACAAATTTTTTGTCTATGAATGTTTTGAAACCCTTTAGTATATATTTCTGAAGAATTCTCATTTTAATTTTTGTGTTGCTGGACTTAAGGATCTTGGACTTCCCAGCCCCTCAGAAATAAATGAGCCAATTCTCTCTCTATATTTAAATATATGTATACACATGTGTTGTTGTTGTGTGCCATCGAATTGGTCCCGACTCATAGTGACATTGTATAGGGTTTCTGAGGAGTGAGTGGTGGGTTTGAACCATCAACCTTCAGTTAGCTGTCCAGTGCTATCCTACAGTGCCACACAAGGACTCCATATGCATGTGGGGGCTTCAAAAAATTAGTAAAAAAGTGAAATTAAAAGGTAACGGAATTTCCCCCCTTGTGTATCTCGCTGGTTCTGTTTCTCTGGAGAACACTGACAGAGAAAACTCCTAAAAGCTGAGCCTAATCTCAGGAAGTACAAATAAAGAAATGGAGAAGGCGAAAAGGGACGGGAAGAAGCCAATAAAGTATGGTTAATGAGCAGGTCACGGTGCTGGGCCACTAGGGATTAATAAGCAAGGGTTCAGAGAAACCCTACAAATCGTGTCTTAGAAACACTTCATAGGAAGCAGGGCAATACTGACTCTCAACCCCCAAAGGTTGGGGGTCACTCCTCCAGCAGTAACTCCCCTCCTCTCTGGAGTATGCCCTCTTTCAGAAAGGAGAGACATGGTAAACTTGTCTTGCCTGTGAAGACTTGATGCAGCTATAGGTTAACTCAGGTGGGGTGGGATGTGGGGCTGGGCACCAGCAGTCCCTACCACAGTACTAAAGAAGTATTAGGCAAAATCCATTGATCAAAATACCCTTGATGGCTGCTGCTTTTCTTAAGCACCACAGGAAATACTGGCTGGTGTTAAGAACAAAACCCACAGATCTTTAAAGCTGGGACTCACATGTGGCTGGATGAGGTACTCTTGCTTAGATACAGGGAACCAAGACTGAGGGAGGTAAAGCAGCTTCTCATCTCACATCTCCATCTCCCTCTGGGGTGTATACTCACTGGATGGAATGGTAGGCAGCGTTCCCCATGTT